ATTTAACTATTTAAATATTAACCTTTAATTAGGCGCATGAGGCAGAAAAAATGTCTTGGAGTGCTTGGAGCGTGCTCGCGCTTAGGGATGCAAATTTTCAGAGCCAACATCGATACATCGATATTTCGATGTATCGTAAACACTAACATCGATGCCGAAAAAAATCGCCCCAAAACTATCGATACATCGATATTTTCCGATGTTTCTCTTTTTTAATAAGTATGTTACAGGTACTTCATGATTTGCAGGTTTTTACAGGAAGCTGTTAACGTACGCCACCTTCCATAAGGTTTATTAATGGCGAAAACCGCTTTACCTGTAAAACCTGCAAATCCTGAAATACCTGGAACTGACTTAATGCTTGTTAAAATTGTAAGAAAAACCTAGTGTCCATCTAAACTGCTACACTGTTAACATTTCAATGGGTGGTTTCTTGAATTTAATCAGATTTCCTTCCAATGTCATAATAGATTTGCTGTTTACGAGCAGATAATACTTACACTCACCTTAAGTCGTGTTGAAATACTGTAACTACGTCATGGAAATCGCCTATGTTCAACGTTGCCAATTGCTTTTATTAAGTGCAGGGCTGCCATCACCCGTATTACGCTTACCCAAAGGGCTCTGTCCCACGGTCAGTAATTATCACGATATTTGGATCGTGATCCATATTGATGGATTGATGGATCGCGCACGAATGCTACATGTTCAATATTTAGCGCGTCAGTATTTCCATATTTTTTTTTGCTGAACGCTTATTATGACGCAAGAAAATATTTTTATTTTGTACGTATAATTTACAGATAATGCATTTATTATTTATGACAATTATTTTAAGATTTGTTCAATTTGTTTTGAAAGATTTTAAGCCCCGAGAGTGAAGGCAGAGCCGATGTTTACATTATGAGAGTAAAAGATGTACTAAAGAAATGTATGGATCGCGTTTTGAAAGTGCTACACGTTCAATATTTATTGACGGTTTTGCGATCCGCGATCCAAATTTCAAAGTTTTTAGAAATTTTGCGATATGGATCACGATCCATCAATACTGCATACTACACCGTCAATAAATATCGCGATACTTGGATCACGTCAATAAATAGTGACCGTGTGACAGAGCCCAAAGAATATAACATAAAGATGTGAACGCAATGGCAATTTTGAACCGAAACTAAAGTCGATGTTTAAAACATCGTTAAAATTGACATCGATATATCGCCAATTTTACGATGTTGAGTAATTTTCAAATATCGATGGTAAACATCGGTTTTTTGGCCGATGTTATCGATGTTTCAGAAACATCGATGCATCGTTTGCATCCCTACTCGCGCTATTTCTAGCTTCCTGGCTCACCGCGGGGTACGTAAATTAGTCACTGACAAAACATTGGCAACACACATACCGCTACTCTCTTAAGTGCTGACCCCATGCGAACACTAAAGTAATATTTTTTAGAGGAGGGAAGTTTTTATTTCCTTTTTTGATTTTTTTTTTGTTTTTTTTTTTTAAGGTTATGATAACAGAGTACTTTAATATTTTTGATAATACACACTTCTTTTTTTTTAATTGTAAAACTCTTTTTCTCAATTCTTTTATTGGGGTCACTCGGGACCCCATGCGACCTCATTCCAGGTTAGCGATTTGATGTTTTTTAAAATGCGTTTTTAGTTTTCGAAAACTATAAAAAATCGGTATCCTTTTTTTTTAAAGACGACTTTTATTAAAGTTTTTTATAAAAGCTTAAATATCACCACATTTCCTAATTACTTTTTCAAATTATCACGACACCAACAATTTTGAGACGGGAATGTATTTGCAGGTATCAAAACTGCCTAAAAATCAGCGATAGGCTTCAGCTCACATCTGGGCTTTGAACTCCTTAATGCACATACAAATTTTGAAAGCTGTATCACAATAATTGGCGCCTTTCTCATTCTTGCAACTATTCACGGCCTGTTTTACTTCGGTTTCATGCCCCTTCATTGCTGGAATTTTCATGAGTTGCTTTATAGCAACATCAGCATTGTAAACGCTCTTATTGAGGATGCCCTGCTTCTCCAACAAACATTTCACGTGACATTTTATACTATTCGTAGCTTCGCTAGCCTTCATGCCGTTCTCAAAGAATTTCTTTACTTCATCTTCCGTGGTATTGGACTCAGACAGGCAGGCTATTCTATTCCATTTATCCGTTTCGTCGCTGGATTGACACTACCGGGGAATAAATATAATTATTTAGTAAAGAAATAGATGAGGCCTTGAGAGCTAGACTGGCCTAGCTGACATTAAAAAAAAATTGTTTGTAGATAGGCTCGTCTAGCACCCATGGCCTCATATGCACTTCTCTAGGTATGGTTTGTTATCACCCAAGTTCAAACACCAAAGTTTATTTTATAGAAGTTTAACCAACTTACCATTACAAACGTGACTGAGGCAACTAGCATAGTCAGTCCAATCAGCACATATAAAGCTCTCATTTTTGCATATAACAACAAAGTATGCGAATTGACTTGTTTATACAATGGAATCGAGAATGTTACTAAATTATTTGTGCAAGCGAACAGCGTTTATAAAACAGAAATTTTGCTTTCGCTGACTTTTATTTCGTGCCGCATTTCGTAGTCTGTTTAACTCAGTTTGTTCTATGACTTTTTTCGATGCGTCACAGGACATTTTTTGTAATCATTTTGCAAATTTGTATATATGTATTACTCTAAATATCGCTCGGTTTACAAACTTTTTTTGACATTACTTAAATTTGAGTTTAATTTGGCCAAAATAATTGTTCAGTAATTTGCCAATTATGACACGTTGTGTTTGTCGGTTAATCAAACATCAAGCTATACAATACGACAAAGTTTGCTTTTGTTATTAGTTCAGGAAATAATTTTCAATAATTTAATAGATTTAATTCACAAATTATGAAATAACTTTTAATAATTACAATGCGTGTAGTTGACGAAAAATGAAATGGAAGAAGAATGGCGATTTTTTTGTGACTAATTCGGGATGACTATGCGATCACTTGCAAAGAAATATACGATTTATACCAATTGACCAACAAATTTATTTTATCGTTATATTAATACCAAAACTATTGGTAATGATAACTAATCGAAATACAGCGATGATAACGCAGATAGTAAAAGTGCTAATCATAATGTTAATAGAATTGTAACGTCAATGGTAATGGTATAGATAATGTAATTATTGGAGTGCAATGGGTATAGAACATATAGCAACCCATAAGCGAGATGCGGTAACCAATTCGATTGGTGCCTTGGGTCACAGCATAAAGCGAAGGAGCTTCGGTGGGGCCACTCCGACTCTTTCGGTTTAAGGGCTCACTGAAGTCTCCAGCCTCTATTTACCGGTAGGTGCGGCTGCAATCGGGCGTCTGTCTTGGACAAAACGGCTCGCTATATAAACGAGTATTCAGTTACGAAACTATCCCCGCTCAGCAATGGGTTGTGTGCTGGGTTTGGCACCCGCCACGTAAAACAACAGCTTCAAGTGAGCGCTTGAAGCTCACGAAGCAGCGCTGCCCGCCATGATATCGAAATCGTGGTTGGCGCCTTCAATGCCAGGGTTGGAAAGGAAGGGATCTTTGGAACCACCGTCGTAAAATTCAGCCTTGACTGCGAAACGTCCGATAATGGATTGGGGCTGATCAGCATCGCCGGGGCTCGAAACATGGTAGCAGTACTCGGTTCAAGCATAAAATAAGCCATCAAACTACGTGGCTGTCTCCAAATCGAAAAACGAGAAACCAAATCGATCATGTTGTGATAGACGGAAGACACGCTTCCAGTGTTTTAGACGTACATAAACTCCGGAAATCTCAGCGTTGAAAAGCTGCAGTCAAAACAGATGGCCAATGCATTCACTATTCGACGCTCACCTACTCTCGGAGAGCACTTTTCAACAAACCGACATATGCGAGCAGTGGATCCACATATCCCGCCTCCGAAGAAGTAGTCGGATTTAAGCGAGCCCATAAGAACAACTGGTACGATGAGGAGTTGTAAAGAAGCTGCATAGAAAAAATATGCCGCCTACAGCACCACGCTCCGACCGGGCACAACGGGAGAGAGGCCGAAATAGGTGAGTGCGAAGATCTTGAAATGCTGGCCAACAGGAGAAATTCTGGACCACCATAGACCACGGATTCGCAATACGCCAAATCTTGGGAAAAAAAACCCGCTAGAGCAGGATCGACTGGGATCGATTGGGAAGGACTTCTCCGAGCCGTTTGATGCCAAACGAGGTTTCAGACAAGGACTCCCTTTCGTGTGATTTCTTTAATCTGGAGTTGGAGAAGATAACATCGGAGAACTGAGCGGCTGAGGCGTCTACGACATCGACATTATCGGTAAAAACAAGGTAGCTCTCCCTTCCGCCTTCTCAGAATTATATACAGAAGCAAAGCATTCCATTCCGACTTTATTTTCGATTTTCGAAACTGAATAAAATCTGCGTATCGCGGGGTTCGTTGCTCTCTGCAAGGGATTTTTACTTTATAAACCTTTGCAGAATCGAGGTATGACTATAGTGATTTGCTTTGCAGGTAGATAATTTTCGTAGTCTGATGGCCGCGCCCCCTATATTTTGCTTACCCATAATTTCTATCGACAATATATTTACCATCATATTCATCGCTTCCGTGGGCGTAGTGCGTGCGGTCCCACGGATTCACAGTAGGCCCTATCCTTTGCATTTGCTGTAGTGTAATTGTGGCTAATTTCTTATTTAAAACAAGACAGCAAACCACTATCAAAAGTTCTAAAACTACTGTGCTAAATAAATATTTCTCCTGAAAGAAGAACTCCCTAACTTGAACCTCTCTCTCATATGAGTGTTTTAATGGGACCTACTTTCTTTGACCTTCGTTAAAACGATGAACTTTCTAAAATTTTTGCCTTTATTCAATTTTTTTTTTTAATATTTTTGCATATTATTGAATATGTTATACAACTAGGTATCTAGGTATATGATTTAAATCATGCTGAATTCACTGCATCGATTTCAATTTTACCAATACACACGGAAATTCGTCCACCTTTATCACAGACACCACCATCATCTCTTATTTGGCTACATTGTTGTACGGCTCTTCTAATAGACTCCATATCAGGCTGCTTAGTCTTGCGAATACGGTCTTCAAGATGTTTCGTTGCCAATGCTTCATCAAGCGTGTCATTATCATAGAAGCCAAACTTTTCAGGTATACATTTCAGAAAACACTTGATGCTTTGTGGCAACGTCGTCGGATCGAAGCTTTTAGGCGCATATTGATTTAATTCCTTAACGGAGATATTAATATCTTTGCTGCACACGTCAAGAACTTCCTTCAATGCAGGATCGATAGCGGGCAACTCCGCCTGCAGGAGAGTATACAGATATGGTTTTTAATGAAATAATAATTTAAATTTAAATCTTAAAAATATATTTCGTTAAAATTTTTGACGTACCTGCGCTGCCGCTAAGAGCGTGGATAACAAGCAAATAAATATGGTTTTCATATTGCGGCTAAATTACAGCGACCGCGAAAGCAAACTATCAGCTTTCATATTCTGCGGTGCTTTTTATATACAAATTTGATACGTTTTTCTAATGCCTGTGCCGCATATCCGGGTCGTGATGAAACCATTTTGGTAATGGCACTTTGTAATTGACCAAAAAAGTGGTGTATTTGTAGATAATGGGAATTAAAAATTATATATTTTAATTGTGAAGAGCGACGGTAAAAAAGTTATTTTCATATTTTGAAACCAAAAAATAGTAGCGGTATAATAATTATGCCGCTATGTCGAAGGTAGCTGTATAACCCTCTTTCAGATTACAGTGACGGATATACGTATGTATGTATTTAAATACTTTTACATTTAAAGTACCATAAACTTTCTTAGTACTAAGAAATGCCTAAATACTGCAGTAAAACAAGCATAGGTATGTAGACGGAATAAGGAGTCTATCATCATCGACTGGAGGCTCGGGTTCATCTTCTCCTCAGCTTTCAGTGCTGCTACCATTCAATAGGAAATATTTTTCTTTCATTACCTCGTCATACAAGTCAAGCGGTGGAACATCGACTCCGTCATCATCGTCTTTTCAACAACTTTAAGTGCTGCTTCCATTCGCTAGTGTGGAAAATTATTCCCTCTAAAATGTAAATACGTTCTGGATATGGGTTGCTAGATCGCCATTGTTGTTCTTACAAGAGTTCGCCCTGGTCTTAAAACTTTCGTAAATCGCCTAACTCTCTGCGAAAATTTTCGTGCCTTTTTCCTGTCGGCCAGCATTTCATGGTCTTCGCTCTCACGCCTTTCGGTCTCTGTCTTCTTATTGCGACAAATACGTCTCGCCTCACTTATCTTCTCATTTTACATATATATATTTACTATACCTATGACTCATCCTTTGCTTCTCTATCAACTCTCTGTCACTACGTTCAACTTTATAGAATGGTCAAAGTCCATCGTCAAAACTACACCATTAGGGGGTGGCTCGGAGTATTTTTCGCTTTTCCTATTAGAAAATAACAGAAAAAAAAATTGATCTGCTAAAACTCGATGCGATTTTTAGGCAAAACAGTTTGCTGAGTCACCGAAGAGTTGAACATTCCATTACGAATATTTGTTAGAATAAATAAAACGGTGTGAAAAGCGCTTTAGCAGATAATTCCACAAATACCCGCTCCAAAAATAGTCACATTTAATCCAGTAATCGATTTAGCATTGCCAGTACAGTTTTTCACAAAATTTCAAATTTTTGCCAACTCACCCTAGGCGCATTGCTCATGTCACCAACGAACTGCCAAAGCAATTGAAAAAACAATTGGAACGGCCATTTCTTTGTTTATTTTGACAACAATTCAACTCGAAATGAATAATTCCATTGAAATATGAGCAGGTAAAACAAATTTCAAATATTTTAAAAATAACAATTTTCTGCATATCAAAGAGGCTTAAACACAATTCAAAGGGAAATGTTATTTCTAATTTCTCAGTAAATGACCAACAAATAATAAGAATAAAACTTCGCATTGTTGTTGCTAAAAATTTGTGTGCACACATGTGTGGATATTTGAAAAGGCGAGAGCAAACTAACAAAAAAAACTCGCTTTAAACCACAATGCGACAAAGGCACACGTCAATTTTAATTGTCAGAGGTCAGTGAGGGAGCGAGCAGTTGAGCTGCGCTGTAGATAATGTGCAATGGCAACGAAAAGGGAAAAGTTGATAGAAAATAGGAAATCATATTAAAAGAAAACAAAACCAGCAAATACAAAAAGGAACAATTTTTGAAAAAGGATGTGGGCGCATACTCAGCTGGCTTAAATGGATGCACAACCACAAATCAATTGTTCCGAGAGTGCATGTATGTATGTATGTATATGCATGTGTGCGTGCATTGCATTGCATTCGATATTTCGCATTTTTGTTTGGCGGCCATGCGACGCCTACCTGAGGTGCTGACGAGACTGCAGCCGTTAGCTGCCTTCTGACTGCGATTTGTTGGCTCAAAAACGCAGCTGGAGTTCACACCAATAGCAACACCAACACCGAACAATCGTTTGCTATCGATCACATGACGACGGACGCAACAGCCACAATGTTGTGGTTTGCGCTACAAAGACTGCGTTCCATAGCAGGAAAAATGCCAGCATTTTTCGTAAATCGAAATTTTTATTTGAAAAAATGGGCGTCAGCAAATTTAACAGCATGGGAGCGACGAGGGACTGATATCAGCGGGAGTGCATTAATGTTTGTTTGGTGTTAGAGTTTTAGAGTTATTAATTTCTTAACTTTAGCAGCTGTGCTGTAATTGGGGAAAAACTATCTTTGGTTTAGAGAGAAAGGTAGTAAAAGTAATGGCTTTGGGAACGCAGTTGAATAATTACTAGAAAACATAGCCAAATAATAATGAAAGATACATTAAAACTTATTGATGGCGAACAAGATTAAGAGTGCGAATATGCTTCAATTAGTTAAAAAAAAGGATGGGAAAATGAGATCGAATGGCTTTTACCTACATTTATTTCACAAACTATTGTGATGATTGTCGATAAACCTTGTGATTGTTTTTGATAAACATACACTTATATAAAAATTTTGGGAAAACCCGTTCGACTGGACCTCACCGATAACAAATATTAATAATGTTATCGATAACTACTGATACATAGAAATTTTCTGTAAAAAGGTGAAAATAGTGATATTAGTAATTTTTTATTTAATAATTTTTCAATACCATCTCTATATATGTACATATGTAAGTGCTTATGCATCATGTATATAATCCTATTCACATCAAAGTCTAAAAGTTAACGGCCGCTACTTGATCTTTTCATCGTCTATTAAGCCAATTAATTTAAATATTCAACAAAACAAAATCAGTAAATAAACAAATCCCAAGCTGTCAACCTGACAACTCAACAGATGCTAATGAGTTGTGCAACTAATTAAATGAAATTAATTATTGAAATAAGTAATTACAAGAAAATGGCTGTAAGAAAGTAAATAAGTACAGTCTTATATAAAATATTTATGTGCGCATGCCTACACATTGTTTGATATCAGACATGCACAGATAACTTCATCATCTCGTATTTGCCACCAAACCAAGATTCACAACCAAAGCAATCCACTCACCCAACCACCCACCGCAGCCTCAACGTCAAAATGCTGTGACACAATTCTGCCACGAACAATATTTTGTTATCTGTCTGTCCTCGCTGCTTTAACTTTCACCATAGCACAACATTGCCTCATTAGCGTTAGCCTTTTGTGTTTGCCACCACTTGCCACATCATCAGAAAAATTTGCTTATGTACAGAGGAGCCTTGGTTTAAGCGCACACTTGCTGTGCTTTCCACTACCTTAGCCGCCTAGGATGTAGTGTTGTCAATTAACAATGAACTTTTGCTGGCAAGGAAAGAGTAGGCAAAAATAATTGCTGTGACCTACCTGTGTCTGCAGCAGAAGGGGCAGCAGGTGTAGGAGAGTTGATTAGCACAGCATTCATAGACATGTAAATCAGGTCAAAACAATGAATGCAACTGACAATGAATTACATGCTGTACATACTAGTTGTATAACCCACAGCCCAAATTTCACGGACGAGCAATTTATTGAATTTCACGGCAAGAAGCTGCTTGGAAGTATTGTCATATTAGTCATTAGCAGAGAGCCATACTCAGCAGCACTGTTGCTTTAATGAGCGCCTTAGTTGTCTCATTATTTGTCAGATGGCAGGCAGCACAATTCATTAACAGATGCGCTGCGAGTGTGATCCTGCTTCCTACCCTTCACACCTGGTTCCTTACAGCCAAATCAATTCGACTACACTCTGCACAATACGTTACTCACATTTTCTTTTTTATACCCGAGCGCACTTGTGCACAAGGGTATATTAATTTTGTTCACATAACGGTTGTTTGTAACAGCCAAAACGAATCGAGATAGATATAGACAAATGTATACATAAATGATCAGGATGAAAAAAGAAATCGATTAAGCCATGTCTGTCTGTCCGTCCGTCCGTCCGTCTGTCCGTCTGTCCGTCTGTCCGTCTGTCCGTCTGTCCGTGTACACGATAACTCGAGCAAAAATTGAGATATCTCAACGAAATTTGGTATGTAGGTTTCCCTTAATCCAAGGTAGGTTGGTATTGAAAATGGGCGAAATCGGACTTTAACCACGCCCACTTCCCATATAACGGTAATTTCCAGAAATACGAAAACTGCGATATTTTAGTAACTACTGAAGATAATTCACTCAAAATTGATATTTACAATAATTTTTAGACGAAAAATAAGAATATTATACATTTTTGGAAAATGGGCGTAGCCACGCCCACTTATGGTTACATGTGTATATCTTGGTAACCGCTGCACCAATTTCTTCCAAACTTGGCACAGTTGTTGGCCTTTGCATAACATACCAAATGGGCGAAAATTTTTAAAATCGCTCAATAACCACGCCTACTTCCCATATAACGGTAATTTTCAGAAATACGAAAACTGCGATATTTTAGTAACTACTGGAGATTATTCACTCAAAATTGATATTTATAATAAGTTTTAGACGAAAAATAAGAATATTATAAATTTTTTGGAAAATGGGCGTAGCCACGCCCACTTATGGTTACATGTGTATACCTTGGTAACCGCTGCACCAATTTCTTCCAAACTTGGCACAGTTGTTGGCCTTGGTATAGCGTAAAAAACCGCCGAAACTTTTTAAAATCGGACAATAACCACGCCCACATCCCATATAACGGTTATTTAGAGAAATACAAAATCTTCGATAAATCATTAAATATTGAAGCTAATTTATTCAAAATTGATGCTTGCAACAATTCTTTACCAAGAAATAGGTTCATGGTAAAATTTTGGAAAATGGGCGTGGCACCGCCCACTTATGATCTCATATAAGTATATCGGTAACCGTTCTACCAATTTGTACCAAACTCGGTATGGTTATTGTACTTGCCACGTGTAAGCAAAACGTTGAAAATT